GGACCAGCATGTATTTGAGATTCAATTGACTATGATACACGGTATTACAATTACAGCGTGAATGGGTTTCTTTTTAATTTATTTTTCTCTTAACGTTCTCCTCCGTCAGTCATTCCGAGACTAATTGTCCTGGAGTTCATCCTCATCAACTGAAGAAGGATAACGAATTGCCACAGTTCACAGAGGCTGTGCTCCCGGAGCTGCCGCGGCCTCGGCGTCTCCTTCCCTGTGTCCTCCCTTCCAGACTGCCACCCCTAGTGATCTGCGGCCCCCATAAAACCCGTCTCCCCAGGGGGCTCCCCCATCACCGCTCAGGTCCCGCGGGCTGGCGCTAGGCCACCAGGGGAGGCGGGGATCCTGCCCTGCCCAGTGCTGCTCCTGGGTCCCCCTGCAGGAGGGAGGCGGGCGAGAGGCATTTTCAGCTCTGAGGGCTCTGCTTCTGCTGAGTATTCCTGAGCAAAGCTCTTCTCCTCTCTGGGCCTCAGTTTCCACATCTGCAAGGTGGGCCGGAGGTCTTGGGGTCCTGCAGCTGTGACGTTCTGTGAGTAGGATCAGGAAGAAGGACTGCACGCGGTGCTGGATTGGGCCTTCTGTGGCCCCCCTGTCCCCCCCTGCCCCCACCCCGATCCTCGTGTTGTCCTGCCTGGAGAGCCTCTCCTGTTGTGACGCACGGCTGCTCTGAGAGGGGCTTCCTCTGCCCATCACCCTCCCCTGTCACCTCCAGCGGGACTGTCCGCTCTGGGCTCCGTGCCTGGGGGCTGGCACAGGCCACCTCGGTGTGCAGGTGGACATCGTCACCACCTCTGCTTTCCAGATGGGAAACAGAGGGTCAGAGGGATGGGGCAGAGTGTGGACTTGCCCAGTGCCCGCGTCTGGGAAGCCTTGGAGCCCAGGGCGGGGTGGCTGTGCAGACGCCTCTCTGGCTGAGCCCCACACCCTGTCCCAGCATGTCCTGTGGGAGGCGTGGGGGACCTCGGCACCCAGACGGCCAGGGGGTGACCCTGCAGGCCAGGCCACCAGGGAACAAGAGGCCATAACCGCATGACCACTCCCCTAAACATGAAACAAAACTGTTCTCTGGGTGCGTGCATGTGTGTGCATGTCTCTTTGTGCCTGTGTGTGCACACGCTTGTGTGACCAGGGCGGTTCTCAAAGCCTGAGGGCACAGCGTCCTGGCTCCACGCTGGCCCACCCCGGGAGACCTGGGGCAGTTCATGTCCCTGTCTGGGCCTCAGTTTCTCATTTGTGATGTGGGTTGTGGATGAGGAACATCTGTGTGGCCCTTTACAGATGTCCAGATGTGGCCTGACCCTTACACTACTGTGGGGCAGGGGTCAGTCACCTGCCTGTGATGGAGGGGGAAACCAAGGACAGGGACCATGGCCGAGCAGGCCCAGAGTCTGGCCTCTGTCCCCTGGAGCCTTCCCCACCCAGGTGCATCCCGGGAGGGGAATGGCTTCCCGGGTCTCTGAGCAGATTTATTTGGCGGTCCCCAGGGCTAGGTGTGTCCATAAATCAGAAACCTGTGGAAACACAGCCCGATAACTCCATCCTGCACGGCCTCGGCCTGAAAAATTCTTGCACAATGGGGATTTTTTTGCTATTTTGGGATATAGATCTTTGTAGCAGCCAAGATGTCGTTATCATCCTGTGCGCCCCGTCTGTGAAAGGAAGAATCATTAACTGGAGTGTGAGGAAGGGGAGGGCCCCGAGCGGGAGCCCTGTGCTGAGCCTGACCCTGGGAGGCCAGCCCCACAGCCTTCCAGAAAGATCTGGGGGAGGGGAGGGCCTGGCCTGGCTGGAGCTGCTGCAGGTGATGTCGGCAGGGATGCTGGGCCGGGGAACGAGCAAGCCCCACGGCCCGGGGGGGCGGGAGAGCGCCTGAGGGCACGGCTGCACCCCTGTAGGGGGCAGGCCCCGGGGCCCTGACACGGGCTCACAGCCAGCACTTCCGCCTCGGGGAAGCTGGCGTTTCAACTTCAGGGTCCTTGTCCAGAAGATGGGAAAATGGTAGCTTTCCTTAAGGGTTTTGAGCAGACGACCCGAGACAACGTAGGTAGGTGCTCGGCCAGTACTGTCCCCCGCGCCCTCGGGCCTGGGGGGCTGGTCTCCGAGGCCCTTCCAAGTGAGGTCAAAGAGAGAGGCGGGACCTCCAGGGTGACCTCCAGTCACCGAAGTGACTGGTCCCTTGACCGACCTGCCCTTGTCCTCGACATCACATTCCTGTGCCCTGCTGCTGGCATCACACCCCATTCCGGTGTGCCGGGGCCGGGCGGGATCTGTGCCCCGGGCTGGGAGCGGGGAGGGGCCCTGAACCGCACCGAGATGCCAGGAAGCCCAAATCCAGTTACGCACCAGGTGTTATGTATGTGATTCCCCAGGAATGCATCGATCCCTCAGGGTGACAGATCGGTGATGAATCAGGCAGCAGACCAGCCTGTAAGTGAAATACAGGAGGTGGTGCAGGCAGCCTGGCTGGGCATCGGCTTGAGGGGACTGGGGCAGATCTTCGAACCTGGTGGGGCGGCGGGGGCAAGGCCGCTCACCCACCGTGGTCACTGCCGCTGGACCTGGGCCCAGAGCCCAGCTCACGAGGGCTGCGTGTCCCAGGGACTTGCTGAGGGTTTACCTGGGTCCCCTGCGATGATGCTCACCCCCACCCCCTGCCCCGGGAATCCGATGGATCATCATCCCGGGCTGCAGGGGGGAGCCAGGCTCAGGGAGGTTAAGTGACTTGCCCTGGTGTCACACGCAGAAGGACCAGACCGGCTGTCACACGCAGTCGAAGCCAGACTGGTGCACCTTCCTTCCCCCTCAGCTTTTCTGAGCTAGGCTGGGGGGCAGCAGGGGTGAGGACCCGCAGCGGGGTCTGGGCTCAGCCCCAGGGCTTGGCCTGAATGACCTCGGCTTGTACACACTTCAGACTAGGACAGGGACCCTGCACAGAGCACCAGGGAGGAGACATCCAGGAGCAGGACTTCGGTTTGCTTGAGGGCCCCAAGTAGGGGCAGCCAAAGCTGGAGGGCCCTGGGGTCAGAGTTGGTGGCCGGGGCGTGGGAGGTGGGGGGGGGGCTCCCTGCCCCCATGGAGGTGCGCCAGGGACCGTGTCTCAACACTGGGGCGACCACAGCTGTCTCCCTGCCACCCCCCACCATGGCTCAAACTCGCCGAGGGCAGGGACCCTGCGTGAGACGCACAGAGGCAGCCGGGGCCGGGCACACGGGGCGCTGGGGGAGGGGCTGGTGAATGAGTGGGTGCCATCAGGGGCTCTCCACCCCTGGGATCAGGACTCTCCTGGGCAAGAAAGTCAGGGTTCATTGTATGACCAGGTCGGGACTCAGGGTCTGACCAGGGTCAGGGCATGGGGCACTGCCCTGGGACAGAGCGAGACACTCTGGCCACATGAAATGAAATTGCTAATGTCCCGGGCCCTTTGCTCTCTCCGTTAGCCACATATCTGAAATGCACAGAAACTTCCGGACCTCTCAGGCCCTCTGAGACCAGCGGCCTCGGGCCCACCTGTCCGTGCCCCGGTCTCCGCCGCAGCCCCCGGGGAGTGGCCCCTGCGTTTCTGGAAGGAGTGCGTCTGGGGGCTGGGGGCTGGGGGGGGGGGGGGGGCGGCGAGGGGGGAGGGACCCAGTTTATCTCTGTGCGCATCTCTCCTCAGAGCTGCCCCGGCTTCTCAGTAATCTTTATGGGGTTCAATTACTGTATCTTCAATTGATATGAGTGATCTCAATGGTTCTTAATGTTCCGTAGTAAATCTCCCGTGTAAAATATCTTTAATGTTCGGCATAAAACACCCAGCCATTGCCGGTAATGTGGCCACCGGGGCCTTGGCGGGAGCCCTGGGCCCTGTTCGGTGTGGAAGGGAGATGTCGCCGCCCCTGGGCCGTGTGTCGGCCGGGGCAGGGGTCCTCCCCAAATCCTGGGGCCGCGGCGTTTGGTGGGGAGAAGCCAGGTTAAGGAGCGGCGCTGAGGTTTGCGGCTGGGAGCCGGCGCCCTGCGTGAGTCTTTGCGCGGCCGCGGCCGGTCCAGAGCTCCAGCCTGGGGGTCAGGGGCTAAACCCCCCGTGGCCAGGGGGCTGCTTCCTCCGAGAGGCTCCGGGGGAACCCGCTCCTTGCCTCTCTGGCTCCTGCAGGCGCCTGCCTTCCTTGGTCTGTGGCCACATCTGCTCGTGTGGGCGGGCCTTCTCCCCCCGCCCCCCCCCCCCCCCACCAGGACCCTTGTGACTACTAGGACTCGCCCACGAACCCAGGACTGTCACCCATTCAGGGCCCTAAAGTGTGGGGACAGGAGACGCTGAAGACGTGCGGAGGGGACAGGGTCCACCCAGACAGCCCTGTGGGTGGGGAGTGACGCCCTCCAGGCAACGAGTTAGGAGAAGGCTTCCCGGCATGCCTTCGCCCTCAGGGGGTGAAGGGCCCAGGGCCTGTGGTTAAGAGCAACCTCTCTCCTGAAATCCTGTGGCTGTTGAGTGATCTCAGGGCCACCAACATCAAGGACCTCACGTCCACATCCAGTTTGTGGCCTTGACCTGGCCCCCCAGGTGCCTCACACTCGGCCACCAAGGATCGTCCCATAGCCCCTGCTGTCCTGCCCGTGGCCGTGCACACTCAGTGTTCCTCTGGCGGGCAAGTCCCTCCCCCCGCCCCTTCCCACAGGCAAACTCTCCTGTTCGTGCTTCAAGACCCAGTGCTGGTGTTTCCTCCTCCAGGAAGCCTCCCCGGATTGCATCCATCCTCCAAAGCTTCTTCCACTCCCCTGTCCTCCCTGTGAGCTGCTGCCCTTGCCTGCGGCCAGTTCCCCTGCCCAGAGCAGCGGTCTGACCTCTTCTGGGGTGGGCTTCCCCACACTGGGCTTGGGTGCTGCACGGCCACGTTATCTCACGTGTGACTGATGCCTCCTATCACTTTCCTGGCTTCTTGGAACACTCTCAGGGTTTATCGAATCTGGAAAGAAAGAGAGGGAGAGAGAGAGAGCTGTGTATGTCGCACAGATCAGTTGTTCTGACAATTTTATTAAATAACGGGTGGTTCGGTCCTGTTGCAGAATAAGGGCTCCAGGGAAGGCGGGGGGCAGGGCTGGAAATGTGGAAGGAGGAATCTGGCCTCTTCCAGAATCAGTGGGGAGGCTCCTTCAGCCTGCGGAAAATGTGGGTTCAAACCCAGGCCTCCCAATTAGCAGGTGCCAAAACGGCCCTGTCCCCAGAGGGCTGGCGGCCCCTCCCTCCGTCCCCGAGAAGCATGGCCTGGAGTCCCTGGGACGTGCCAGGAATCCCGCGGGATCAGAGCCTCTCACAGGGCAGGGGCAGCGGGGAGAGGGAGAGCGGGACTGGGCCGAGGACAGAGCCGGCAAGGGAGAGGGACCAGCACTCACGGGGGACTCGCCTCGTGCCTGGAAGCAGCCGGGTCCTCGTGACTGGGGGCCCTGGTGGGCAGGGGCCGCCCCAGCTCCTGGGCAGGAAGACAGGCTGCGTCCGCTGGGGTGGAGCTGACCACGTGGTCCTTCCGTGCCTCCCCTTCCGTGGCCCTGCCTGGGGGTGATGACATCGAACCCGGCACTTGGGGTTATGGGCCCGGCCACGCCCCGCCACGCCACCTGACACCGAGAGGAAGCGAGTCTCAGAGACACGCGGAGTCCGGGCCCGAGTCCACCGTGGGGTGGCTTGTGCTGGGGCACGTGGACAGCCTTGCGGAGTTGCCTGGGGGTGAGGTGAGCACAGGCACGGAAGGTTCTGGATCGAACGGCCGGCCCGAGGGGAGCTTGCATCGATGGCGAGGCTCACGCACGGTGCCCCATTTTTGTACGGACCCTCAGCCCAAGCAGGGAGTCAGGAGAGTAGTCACACACAGGCGCCCAGAGAGGCCAGGACGTTTGTCCGGGGCCACACAGTGCTCGAGAGGCAGAGCCCGGGCCCCAGCCCTCTTGCCTGGCAGTGCCCCCGTGATCACCTGCGGCACCGCGTGAGGCCCCGGGGCGGCCTGCACACGCAGAGCGGACTCTGGCCTCGGCGGGAGCACCGGCGGGTGCCATCCATCACAGCACTCCAGGATCCTGACGCTGGTCCCGGGGCGGGAGAGGCAGAGACAAACCAATGGGGCGTCACGGGCTCCGGCAACATTCGCGGGTAAGCTGTCCATAAACCAGAAATAATCGATCTTCTCCGGGCCGGCAGGACACCCAGCAGAATACATTTATGGCTCTTCTGCTTAATAACCCTTCCCTCTTCCGAGGAGCTGACGGTGCCCCGGGTGCTGGCTTGCTTTTCCCGACCAGTGGGGTCCCAGGGGCTGGGGGGGGGGGTTGCCCCTTCCTCGGAGAGCCCCAGGTCCCGGGGAGGCCGAGGCAGGCACTCCTTCGCTGCCGTCTGTAGACGGTGCTCAAGTATCGTGGGGCTGGACGCGGGGACGTGACCCGCCCCTGTCGGTGGGCTGTGCAGGCGAGAGCCCCCTGAGTCACAGCTCCCCGAAAAACCAGAACGAAATAATGCTTGCTCAACAGTGGCGCCCGGGTGGCTCAGCGGTTGGGCGTCCGACCTCGGCTCCGGTCGTGATCTCGCGGTTCGTAGGTCGGGGCCTGGAGCCTGCTTCGGATTCTGGGTCCCCCTCGCTCTGCCCCTCCCCCACTAGGCTCTGTCTCTCTCTCTTGCTCCCTGTCTCTCAAAAATCAATAAACTTTACCAAAATTTATGAACGTTCTCACCTGGAGAACACTTGGCACAGGGGCTCCCATTGCTGCCGCTGTCACTGCCTTGGGGAGGGTCCTTGCCCCACAGCCTCCCCAGTCCTGCCCTGCAGACCATCCCTCACCTGCCCCTTGGGTCCTTACCGGCCGCTGCGGTGTGCGTGCGGACCCACTCCAGCGGCCACCCTCACACTGGGCAGCGAGGGTCAGCACGTCTTCCCGGCAGGCCTGGGGGCCCTGGCTGGTCGGCCCTGGTGCGGGCGAGGGGACGGCCGCTTCAGCGTCCAGCTGACCTTCCGTTTCCGAGAGGCGGCAGGGCACAACCCGTCCCCGGCCGTCTCCCAGGCCCCCGCCCCACCCACGTCAGAGGCCCTCCCCTTCCCCTGGGGCAGGCAGTGCAGCGGGCCGTCAGGGAGCCTGGGCTTAAATCCAGGCCTTGCCCCTGTGCGGCCGTGACCCCGGGCACAGCCCTGCCACCTCCCTGCGCCCGAGTCCCCACGTGTGCAACGCGGGCATCCCCGGGCTCTGCTGAGGGGGTCACATGTCTTCATAAGCACACGTGCTCAGCAATAGACATCACTTCCACCACCGAAACTACTGGGGGGGGGGGTGCGAGGAGACTGTTCTCATTCCTGCTCCGCCTTCGGGCCCCCAGCCGGAGCCGAGGAGCCGGACCCTAGCGCGGGCCCTCCTGGCTGGGGCTTTGGGCCAAGAGCCAGAGGCCCGTCATCAAGTAACTCAACAAACGCGTGGTGGCCCCTTGCTGAGGCAGGTCCTGGGCGGGGCAGCAGGGGTCCCCGGGGCCATCAGACACAACCCCCAGGAAAGGAGCCAACGGGCAGGCGAGGGATGGCCTTCAGAGCAGGACTGGGGAGGCAAGGAGCCTCCCCAGGGAGAGTGGGTTCCAGGTGGGAAAATCAAGCAGAGGCCCGGAGTGCTCCCTCTGCTCCTTTGGAGCCTGGCTGTCCCCAGCCTATGAGCAGGCACCGAGGCCACCGCCCCGGGGCTTGTGGGAGAGGCTGGTCCTGCGGCAGGAGCCCGCCTCCCCCCCCCCCCCGGGATAGCTGGCCATCTGTCTTCCCCAGACTCCTTCTGAGAGGTGTCCCTCCTCCCACCCCCACGCTGGCCGGGACCAGGGGCTGCGGCTCGCCCGCCAGGCTGACCTCCCACCTCTGACCCCTGACACGCTGCAGCGTAACCCACATGACAGGTTGCCGTTGCAGCAAAGACCTGAAAAAAGTGAGTTAAACAAATCCTTGGAGAAAGCACTCTCCTCCCACGCGGCCCCCTCCCTCTGGCCTTCTCTCTAAATAGACCAAAACATGGTAATTTTATGAACAAATCAAGCCATGCCTTATACATTTTTATGTTCTTAAGCTAACAAAGTGACTTTGAATCTATAAAAAGCACCAAAAATAAGTATTCCGTTTGTTTTTGCCTCCTGAATGGCCCTGGCCATTGCCCGCCTCCTGGCAGCCCCGGCGGGCCCGACGGGACCAGGGTCCAGCCAGAATCGGCAGCAGCGGCAGGTGACCCTGCCCCTCCCACACCTCCGAGGTCCCCTGTGCGCTCCTGCGGTGAGAGTCCGGAGCCTTGTGCCCGACGCCTACGGGGACCCCGTCACCTCCCAGGCCTCCCCGGCCCTGACTCTCCACGTGAGCCTTGCTGGTCCCTCTCCTTCCCCCCACTTTCCACCCTCTGCGTCTCTGCTCAAAATGCTTCTCCCTGGCCCTCTGACCAGCTGGTGAACTCCTACACGTCCGTCAAAATCCAGCCGGACGCCCGTCTGCTGGGACCTCTCCGGTCCGTGCGCTGACGAGGGCCCGTCGTCAGCCGCACTTTACGTCTGTCCCTTCTTAGAGCCGAAAGAGCCGCTTGGGCTGGCGGACCAGCGGGAGCTCGGAGCCGGGAAGAGGTGCGGAGGGACCAGGGAAGGGAGGAGGGAATATTCTGCAAAAGGTCAACGTGACCAGACATGGCGGGGGAAGCCACAGCCGGGGCCTGACGGGCCGCCCTGCCTCAGGGTGGTGGCAGTGTCCACGCGGGGCTGGAATCCTGGCCCGGTCAGCCAAGGTGAGCCCACTGAGGCCCCGGCGCCCTGCTGATGGCCTTCTCCCCCGAGGGAGCAGGTCGAGTCCTGGCCTGGAGGCCACGCCGTCCCCGACTCTGCCCCACGGCCCTGCCCCCTCCGCCCTGCCTGGATGGTGCTGGTGCTGACGTCAGACGCCTGGCCACGTTCTCTGGGCCGCCCTGCTGGACGGGGCGGGGCAAATCCTGGCTGCCCCTGCTGAGCGCGTGGCCCTGGGTGGGAGGCTGGGCTCAGAACCCGAGGCCGTGGGTGCATGCGGGCGGGGAGGCTGCGGGCAGAGCCGAGACGGGGCTGGTCCGTGCGCCCAGGCCCTGCTCCGGGAGCCGCCAGCCCCAGCGGCTGTGGGTCCGGGGCACGTGCTGTCCCTTTGACCTCTGAGTGGGGATACCTTTCTGCTGATGGTGGCGATTTGACCGCAGGCGGGGTCTGGGGAGCCTGGAGGGGAGGCCGGGTGGATCTGGGGCCTGCGTGTGGGGCTAACTGTGGGTCAGGAGGCAGCCGGCGTGTCCCCCAGGTGGCTTGCCTCACGGTCTGTGTCACCAAGGGCCTAGAGCACGGACCGGCAGGCCCCACCTCCCGCCCAGAGAGCAAAGCCAGTGCGCCTGCCCTGTCTGGGACCAGGAGGAGCCTCCTTCTCGGGAGGACCAGGTTAGCGTGCGGAGGGGGTGGTGTGTGGGTGTGGCTGCTCTTTGCCCGAGTCCTCTTGGGCACCCGGCCTCTCACCGGGCCCATGGGTCTAGCCGGACACATGTCCCGAGCAGGGGGTCCAGGCACAAAGCTGACTAAGCCTGAGCGGGCCCTTTGCTGTCTTTGCCTCTCTAGGGGCACAGCCCCTCCGCGAGACCCTCGGGGTGACTGGGCTGGGGCACGGCCGGACGTCCCCGGGTCCCTTGCTCAAACACCGGCCGGCAGGCCGCCTGCCGTGTTTTCTAACCGCGAACCTGCCTGGACTTGTAGGGGCGACGACGTATCGCTCTGACTTGCTGAGGAACGAACGGACGGTGGGGGAGTCTCGTCTCCAGCCGCCCTCTGCTCTCTGGTCCCGGCCGCGCTTCTGCTCAGGGTCTCTGCCCCAGGCCCTCAAGTCCTTCCTGGAGACGCCCCTTGGGGGAGCTGGACGCACCCCCTGGCTGTCGCTGGTTCCTGGGCCTCTGTCCCAACTTGGTAGGTTTTTCTCCGGAACTGATACCACTTACTGGCTAGAAATGCTCTTCCTCCCCCTGCCTCCCCCTTGGAGTCTCCCCCCCCCCCACCAGCCCCCGTGAGGTGCGCCCGGAACCAGCCCCGAGGGAGAGGAGCGGAGGGAGTCTGCACCAGGGAGCGGCTGGGGAGCCCGAGCTGGGGAAACACTTTCTCGGGTCCAATGCAATGGGGGCCTCGGCCGGCCCCTCCCGGGCCTAGTGGTCCTGTGGGAGCCCAGCCCAACCCCCATCAGACCTTTGAGCCCTTCTCCCAAGTCACGGCCAAGAGCGAGGTCAAGTTTAAACTGTCCTGCTGATGGGGAGCCCTGCGCCTCCTGGGGCCTGTGGTGGTGAATGTGCGGCCCACTGCTGCCTCTGCTGCTCGTGTGGGGACTCCGCCCTCCCCACAACTGCAGGGCCCCAGGAGCTCCCAGCCCCAGCCAGCAGTCCCCTGAGGGCCTGTGTCCCTAGGAGGTAATGGGCCATACGGTCCCTGGACATCTGCCCCTGCCCCATGCTCCCAGGATGCAGCTGAGTCCCCCTCTGTCCCCTGTGTCCCACTAATCCCACCAGCTTGCTCTCCCTAGGCGTCCTGTGTGCTGGCCCTGCTCCCCTGGGACCAGGCCTTGCCGGTCTGTGCTGTTCTGGGCCCTGCAGCGGCCGCGTCACCCGGGAGCCTGGCCACTGTGGACCTACAGAATCAGAATCCATTCAGTCACAGGGTCCCCAGGGTCAAGGGCACACTGTGAGAAGCTCTTCCCTGTCCAGGGGCTTATGGCTCTGTGGGCAATTGTTAGTGAATAGTCATAATTTTGGGGTGCAGGGAACCCCAGAAGCTCCTCACCCTGTGCCCCAGGGGAAACTGTCCCACACCCGTCTCTGGAGAGTGTCTTGCTGACGGGCTCACCCTGGCCTGGAGGAAGCCGAACCTTGAGCCTTGCACGGACCAGGCCTCCGGGCACCGGGGAACCCAGGTGGGGTTTTGGGCTCTGCCCTTTTGCCCTGGCCCCTCCCAGACCTTCCTGATACTTCTCCACACCTCGGGCTCCCTTCCTCTGCCAGGATTCTGGGTGCCAGCACCTTTGCCCATCTGCACAGCTGGGATGCAGCCTGTCCAGGGTGAGTGCAGGAGAACATCGCCACTCTGCACCCCTGCATCTGGGGACGTGGGGCATCCCACCCCAATGGCCGCTGTCCCTATCCTGTCCCGGGTTTGGCAATTCAAGAGACCCCATCTGAGATTTAGTTATGCACCTGCTGTGTGCAGGTTCCGTGCTGGTGACCAGGGGATGAGGACACAGTCCTGCCTCTCAGAGCCCACAGAAGTGAGACCATGGCACCTGAGGAGGGCAGGAGAGCAGGGGACAGGCGTCCTTTATCCTGATTGTGACTCCTGGCTCTTAGATTTAGGGGAGGGAGGGGAAGGGCGTTAAGGTAGAGAAGGAACAGCTTTGGTTCAGGAAAACCTTTCTCTGCCATTTACTAGTAATGGGCTTGAGCCCTGGTCCCCGGACCCCTGACCCCCAGGAGCTCCTTTTCCTTATCTGTAAAATAGTCTCCGCGGGCTGTTGTCTGCCTGAGTAAAGTGGAGAGGTGACAGCGTGTGGCAGCTTCAGACTCCGGTGACATCGGGTCCAGGCTCCTTCCTCTCCCAGGTAGGGAAGTGGGCAGGGAGGCATGCTGGCCTTCCGCTTGGAGAAGCAATGGGACTTCTCGTTGGGTCATTCATTGGATCATGCATCCCCTCTTTCAGCAATTAATTTATTCAAAACCTTCCCTGAACACCTTCTGTCTGCAGTGTTCTAGGTCCTGGGGATGCTCCCTTCCCGGGAGGAGAAAGAGCCGGCTGCAAACAAGCCGTTAGGGAGGTGCCGTGAGTACACGGATACAGGCTGGTGACGACTGGGGGGGAGGGGCTGTGCTGCCTGAGGTCTGTGACGCGGGCAGGCTTGGGTGGAGTCCTGGATCCGGGCCTGCGAGGGT